AAACAAATGTTTTGATAATTCTGAAACAAGATTGAGATTATTACTTGCTATCGAATATAGAAAATATTTTTATCACTTTAGAGACTAATCTATTTGTCAGTCATTGATTTCAATCTTATTCTAGCTTTGTTTTCTAGTTTTTTTTTTTTTTTTTGGAGATTGGATAATGCAATACAGCCCTTTTGTTTGCTTTCCAACCTTACTAGTCAAATGTAATAAAAATTTTAAATATAAATGATAATCCATCTTTTATTATTTTTCATCTGCTATGAACTGAAAAAGTAATATGCTTATTTACAGATCATTCAAAGTGAGACTTGGCCTATAAAAGACCAGGAACAAGTGTAAGGTAGTTAGGCTGGTGAGAGTGTTTTTAGTGAGGCATCAGCATGTTATCCAGTCAATCCAGAAACTTTTAAAAACAATTTTAATCATCCTTACTTGCATGTATAGTATATCTTCTTAAGTGATGAGTTTGTTTCAAGTCATTTAGATTTCTTTTCAGATCACCAAGGTAAGGTATTCAGGAGTTGGATTTCAGAATATTTTGTTGTATGAACTTGGTTCTATGCTGAATTAATTTGGACAGAATTATATAGCCAGAGACCATAAAAGATCCAAGACATTTTAACATGCTTTTCTGGTGAATTCCAATCATTTTTGTTGTTTGTGTATTTGTTACTATTTGCATTTATCTTTTAAAATCTTTTTTTTTTTTTTGGTTGGTATACAGAGCTCTGCAGTGTGGATTAATTTAATGAATTTCAGCCTTATGTTCTATGTTTTATGTTTCATCTGAATTGATGGGCTCTAATGTGCTCTAATACTTCCCCTGTGCCATTGCATGAGTTCTGAAATTTAATAAACCAGTTCTGTCTGACATAGACTTTCTTTCACTGTTCTAACATAGTATTTGTACAGTGTAATTGAAAAGAATGGTATTTTTAACTACCGTTGCTAACAATACCTGGTATAGTTCACACAAACTTTTAAATAGTGTAACCTTAGAATAGTTGTCACAATGCAGTAAAAACAGCTTGGGCTTGTAGTTGGGAAATTCCTACTGTTAGAAATGTTAGTTTACATCTGTGCTCTTGCAAAGAGAGGAGAAGTAACATTGTCTTCACAAATAGATAATCACTTCTTATCTTTCTAGTGATACTATTTGTTACTTAGTCAAATGATAGTCTGAAAGAACCTCAGAGAAGCATGAGACTTTAGGAAGAGAAGAAAATGCTGGAGCTTGTCTCTGTCAAAGAAATCATGCTTCGTAAACAAATATTGCAGTTGCTTCATTTGCTTCTTCTAGTTAATGATATGAATTTCCTTTCTCTTTGCCCTTTTGCTTCCTTTCATTTACCAAGTTTCTTCTGTTTTGGTGTGGTTCTTGAGCTGTATCACATGGCACAGAAAGTACCAGTAACATATTGATGAACATAGGGGCACATTGCTACCTAATAACAAACAGATATCTGGGAGAGCTGGGAAAATGAGGAGTAAGAGATCTTGGTTAAAGGTCAGGGCAAGGAGGAGCACCTGCTGTATCAGCAGAGGTGATGTGTCCTATTGGAGGCATGGAACTGCAGCAAAGGAGACCTGACTTTCTATGAGAGCAATTTGAACAGCAATTTTGTTTTTTGATAGGAAAAGGCAGAAAAGAGTGGGTGGTGATAGATTAGATTAGATCTGACAATATTATATTGAATCTTAAATCACAGGAAAGACTTGAATGGTGTCTGCTCATACCATTGAATGTGTTGGCTTTTGACATTGAGGAACACTTTAACTGCAACTTTTTTTGTTTGTTAAACAAAGTTATCTCTCTATTCCTCTATTATTAATTAAAAATAAATAATGCAGCAACAGAATTTGTTGCTTCTCAGATGCTATTTCAGTTCTTTCTAGTTTCGAAATAGCTATCTCTAACTAAATAGCTGTTTTTCTCTTAAAATATTTTTCTCAGTGTGAATCTCACTTCTCTTCTACTATTGTTTTAAAGCACATAAAACTGTGAGCATAGATGCTGAAGTTTGTTGTCATCACTCCATGCTATACTTTCTGTAGCTAAAATTAAGTCATCTTGGATTAATTGGTGTTTTACTTAAACTGTAATTTTTACCTGATTGAGGTTTTAATTTCCAGAAAATTGGATGTATCCTCCAAAGTAGGTCTGAGCCAGCTGAATAGGTTGTTGACAGATGGTAATATAACTTAAATATAGTTTAAATAATAATCAAAGTCTAGAATAGGCTTATCTGCTTTTAATTTAAAAAACAGCTTTTATTTGTTTTATGGCTAAGGGGGGAAGCTGTAGGTCTGATTTTAGTAATGTAATGATTCAGAGATTAGATTAAGTTAGGGAAACTACTTGTGTTTTGGAGGTGTTACAGCCCCAAAAAATTCTGTTTTTTGCAAGGACTAGCAAATTCTCACCATTACACATATATTCCTTAGTCCAAAAAAAATTCATGCACATTACCAAGAGCAACATATTCTTCAGAGCAGTTTGGATTGCTCTCTGCGTTGTAGATGTCAGTACAAGGACGTTCAGTTTCTGCTGTAGCTTCCATGATGCTGTTACCTTTTAGTTGTTTCATCTAGTGACAAAATGCCATTCCACTTGGGACAAAACAAATGAACACAAAAATATATCAGGCTAATGCTAAGAGGTGTTTTTCCTAGGTAGAACTATGAATTTGGGTCTAATAGACTGATTTTTATTATTTTCATGGATAAACACCTTGTTGTAATGCATCATCTTCCTCAAGTCAATGCTAAGCATAGATTTTGGTCTACTTGGGAAATCCTAATTTTTACTAGTTGGTTTTCATTGTTTTTTTCTTCCCAGTTAATGATTCTACTTCCTAGTTTAACCACTGTATGTTGCCAGTGGACCAAAATATGGACTTTGCCATCTATCTCTCTGCCCAGCTACTCCGATGAAATTCTGCTCTTCCATAAAGTTCTCCTGTAAGAAAGAACTGACTCAGCATTCATTAGTTGAGGCTGAGTATTTATTTATGAAAATACCCACAAGTTAACTAGTTCATATTTGTTGTAGCTCACTGCACTAGATGACTCAAGGGGCAATTTAGTGCTTTAGCTAAGCTGTTGTATTTGCAAAACACTACCATAAGTGTTGTTTCCTACTACTTGTGTGGAGAATAAGTTAGAGATATCTCTGAAGGAAAATTGTTCTTTAGTTATTTCTATATGCAGAACCACACTGAGGTGCACCTACCAGTGTGACTCCCTGTGGCTGCGTGATTGCTCAGTTCTACTCCAGAGAAGCTGCTGTTGTGTGCAGCTGGAGATAAGGAGAACAAGAAGTGAAGCCACACTTTTTAACAGTACTCAACCTTGTCAGAATGTCAAAATCAGGCAGTGAGTTAAGACAAGAATAGAGGAAGGAGCAAGAAGGCACAATTTTCTAAGAAACTTGTATATCTATGAAGCAACAAGACTATTTTCAACAGAAGTAATAACTGAAGGTGTTCTACCTGTCCTACCCTTTCTGGTATTTGTACAGGCTGCTGAATGCCATGTAACTACAGGGTGCTGGTAAACAGAATTAAGAAGCTCACCTGATGGAGATCTTCCTTACTGTTAGGCTCTCTCTTCAAGGATTGAGCACATATGTACTCACTGGCATGAAGTAAATGGAAACTTATTCTTTTACTCAGAAGAAATAAAAATTTTGACACTATTTAGAGAATACTATAATTAGATGAATTGCTTTAAAATTTAGCTCAAAATCTGCAGAAGTTACTATTTGTTGGTAGGATATGATGTTTTGGTTAAATGCCACTTGCTGCTTAGATTAGGATAAGGTGATATGGATTCATGATAAAGTTATTGGTGCTGTTTTATATCTGACTTGATACATGCTACAACTGATACAGTATTTGTATATTGAAAAAGTATGTAAAACGGAAATGCATTACATGGTAATGTGGCAGCTTCCTTTACTTATTGTTGCCTGAGGTTAAGGCTGACTATTTCGAAATGATGGAAGTTTCTGATGTACTGTTTTTAAAAGAAAGTCTATGTTTATTGAAACTTTCAGAGAAGGGAAGACTTAGTACATGCTCCCTAGCTTTGTGTGCTGCAGGATTTGCTGTTGAGCCTAAGTTCTTTCCCTGATGCTTATGCATTTCTTAGTGACTGCAGACTTCCCCACTTAAATTATGATTGCAGAGTTCCTCCTTCGTAAAAAAAAAACAATTAAGTTCTCAGAGTAAACTAACTTACATAAAAAATATATATATATATCAAAGGAATGTAAGTAAATTCAATCTTTTAGTAAGAAAATACAATGCACTGTAAAGAAAAGGAAATAACAAGGCTCAGCAAACCTGCTTGTAGGAATACAATTACATTGTTGCTTTTTGAATCAAAATAGATTTATACCTTATTTTGATGGGTCTTTTGTTCTGAGTATACTAACCAAGTAAACACTTTTTTAATGCAACTTTTATTGATGTCAGAACAGCTTGACTGATGACTATGAGAAGTAAATTTTCTTTTTCATTTTTATTTTTTTTCATGCTGTGCAATAAGTAGCAAGAGCTGATTACACTGGTGGTGTTATGGTGCAGTTTGTGTTGAGCTGAAAAGCAACATATATGCTTGAGTGATTTCTTTTAACCAGGTGTATAACAGCAAGTTAACTTTTAACAGAGAGAGGGCAGTAGGTTTTAGCACTGAACAGTAAATACTCTTTGAACTGGGTGTTTTATTGAACATCTTGTGACCTTGTGGAAGAGAACCCTAGAAAGAGCTGTGATGTATAGGAGGAGGATTGACTCAAATATGGGTTTTAGCAATATCACGCTTTCTGTGATGTTTTTAAGGTAAAACTTGTATCAGGGAAAACAAAACAAACAAACAAACAAAAAAAACAACAAAAATGAGACTATGCTACTGTGGGTTTGTTATTTGTCACATTAAATTTGCCATAACCAAGTTTGACAGGCTTTTTATTTTTTTTCAGCAGACAATGTTATTGTTGAAGATTACTCAGATGCCTTCTGTCCATTTTCTGCCTCACATGCTATGTCATGAAAGCTTTGATACACTTAGTACATAATTTAAATGAATGACTACTTTAGCAAGCATAATGGAAGGCACGCATACTATCCTTCAATTGCACAAACCCATAATGGAGCTTTGTTACATCAGCTTCTATCTTCCAGAGGGAAAAGTCAGAGGATTTACTTACAGGGGCTGTGTGACTCTGGATAGAACCAGTAAACGTTTCTGTAATTGCTATAAAGTACAGGAGAGGTTGGAAATGAGAGAACAGCCGTATGAAAACTTCAGAGATATTATTTTCATGCAAACTACAACAAAAGACATTCTCACTGAGTTGTACAGACTAATTGCTGAAAAGGAAAAACTGTTATCCAGTCTTTTGAGATCACATCATATTCTGGGCCTTAACAAGGGATATCAGGAAGAAAAGAAACAGGCTGCTTCTGCAGTCACAAAACTTAACTGTGATGATTGTTCCAGTTTTGAACATCATCAGGAGTTCTTTCTGGATTCTGCAAAGAGAGGCAAATTAAATGGCAAGAAAATGAGGAAATATAGAAGAAAAGAGAGCTTTGATGAACTCAGGCACTGGAAAGGGAGAAATAAGTTACGTGAACAGCATCCTTCTTTACTGAGGGGGCAAGGCATGCAAGTAAATAATGAGAAGATGCTCCCCACGAGACTACTTTCTACCAGGAGTTTTCCCAGTTTCTTTTCTGCCTCCAGTTGTGTAACAGCAAAAGGTAAAGACTATTTATCACCAGATGTTGGTATACAACCAGCAAGAGGGATAAAAGAGGGGTATTTTCCTGAAAGCAGCAAAGCTATGAAACTGGATGCTGACTTAACAAGTTCTGTATCAAAAGACAATGGTGATAAAGTTGCAGCTGAACTACTGGATAATGCAGAATGCGTTCCTGAAGTTATAAATGTACAGCAGAGTATCATGTTGGTAAAATCATCTCAGGACAATTTATCTAACAACCTAGAGAAATTAAGCAAATCTGCAGTTCCTAAAATCTTGAAAAATGTCAAGTGTACTGACCAAGTATACAAGAAGAAACCAGGATTCAGAATTGCTGCTGAAGTACAGGATTCAGAAGCTTGTGACAAAACTGCGAAAACCCATGCAGAGTCATTATCTGATTTTCACCAGAAAATGGTTTCTCCTGTTCTCACAACAGTACATAATGTATTTGGATCAAGAACTGATGGATATTTAGCAGATGAAGCTGCTGGATACTCTAGGAACAGTGTGCTGCAGGAAGAAGAGCAAGATGGCTCTGTTTTGAAGTACAAAGCAGAGAGAGTGCACATTACCGATGAGTCATGCAACCTTGTGGGAGCAGTCAATAAAGCTCTTCTGAAAGTTATACGGAGTGACAGTTTAGATGAAGCTGCAGAATGGAAGAGACTGAAACAAATTACAAGAGTAGACAAAAACCTGCCAGGCTCAGTATATGAGAAAAGAACCACGGTATCCTGGGGAAACAACAAGCATTTATTTCTGAACCTGCCTGTAAATGAAGACCCTGATGTTTCTCAGACAAGTAATAAGCTGGAAGAGAAAAAGCTGCATTCACCTTCGTTAGTAGCAGTGAGTAATGTTTTTAGCAATTCCTATCTGCTATCTAATACACACAAACAAATGTCACCTATTCCTTCTCCATTATCTTCAAGACTGCCTACCCCGCAGCTGCATCATCGGATTCTCCCATTACCTGCACAGAACTCTGAAGACGAACCTATGTTTGGTGACTACTGCAGTGGGAGGCAAAGTGCTATAAACCTCTCTTTCAATGATTTGGAGCCACCATTTTATCTGAAGTTTTCTGAACCTGGAGAACTGGGATTTGCCATCAGACAACCACGCTTACATCAGAATGCAACTGCAGGGCAATTTGAAAAGCGCACTCTACAAGAGAGACTAACTACTCAAACAAAGCAGAATTTCTGTGCAGGTCAGTCCTATTTTATATATTTAAAAACTAATAGAATTGACAATCCATGAAAGTGTCAGAGGGTTTTTTTTTTAATACTAGCCTTTAACAATGTTTTCAATGAAAGAAAAACTACTGACTTTTAAAAACAAAAGTTATAATTATGTATGATTTACTTTCAGATATATTTTTAATCTTATTTTATTCAATGCTATTGTTAGTGAATGTGCCCTATTAACCAAAATTAAACAGGTACACAGAGGAAACACTGAGCTGTAGTATTATCATTAACTACATATGAACTTTTATCTTACTCAGAAATATATCTGAACACAATAGCTAAGATAATTTTTAAAATTAGATATTTTTCTATATAAAATGTTCCTGCTATTCTTGTGTTCCAGTCTGTCATAGCTTTTATTGTCTAAAGCATTCTTTTTAGCTTGTTCAGATTAACTGGCAGAATATTGCATAAGCAAGCTAACTTACATTGCCTTAAGTATAGGACTGGTGTGACCGTTTAGCTTTAAGAGGTTAATGCGACAACAATGTTTTGCTTTTAAAAGGACTGCATTAGGAGCCATGTTACAGTGCATTTGAGTGTGCAGCTGTTGGCATAAATATTTACTGTGAATATAAAAATACAAAGCTGTATACCATGTATCTATTAGCTAGAATTTTGTTGTCTGTACCAGTCTTCTCTGAGAAATGGGAAAGCTGGAGGACTTAACTCTGTAGTGGTCTGGGTGTGGTTAGGCTGGTGTGAATGCATTACAGGGAGGACTGAAAGTGGAAAGTGATAACATTTTTCTATAAATGAGAAAGGGGTCCTAATCTGAAACTTTAACAGTTTACAGGACAATTATGATAATTTTCTTTGCTCTCAAGTTGAAAGGGAAACTCTGAGAAACATGGGGGAAAAAAACCTTAGTATCTCTATTTTTTAGTATTTGTTTAGACTTGAGTTTCTTGTGTGGAACATCTTTGCACTCCCAAAGCTATGTCCCTTCGTAGACAATTTGGGTCTAATCCAGTACACCTTTGACTAATCCAGTTCAGTAAAATGGCACAAATTTCTTTTCTTTCCCCCCCCCTTTTTTTTTTTTTGGACTAAACTGGGAGATTACCTAAACTGCCTCAGTCAGGCCTAATAAGTATTGCTGGTGCAAGATGAGTTGCAGAATGCTGCAGATTAAACAGATTGGAAGACAAGGCTTAAGGGGAAAGAGGTGTGTAAGAATGTGGAACTATTATCTTAGTTAAAGGGTGTTGAATACTGCTTATGCCTACTGCTTCTAGAAGTTGCTTTGTAATTCTTGTTGCACTCAAGGCTAAGTTAAAGTGTTGTTTGAAGGGTTGACAAAGCTGATGTAAACACTGTTAGCAAAAAATGTTATGCTCTTGTTTCCTTTCTTTCTTGGATTCTGTTGCTCTTTGTTGTCCTACTCATTTTGTTGTTTCTGATGTTGATCGTATCTTTTGGTGAGCTGAGTTAGCCTTTAATGACTTTTTCATTTACAATCTGTGGATGGGGAACTGTACTTTTTTTGCTGCATTCCAAGTAAAAACATGCACACAAATAGCATCTGTTGGCTTAAAATCATAATTATTAAGCAGAAACATCTTAGTAAAGAGAACAAAGTGCAAAAAAAAAAAAAAAAAAATTTTAGTTATTGTTTACAGTTACCTTACAACATTAGTGTAGATATCAAATATCAGTGCAATTTTCTTAAAGATGTAATACAAGAAAAGGAAACAAAGCAATAGTATTACAACTTGCCAGCATTATTACCCAGGTGTCATGAAATCTGTATCTTGAAGGAAAAGATTCCTACTATACCACCATACATAGGATTGTAGGTGTGTCTTTTGGATCTGGGATGATATTTCCCATTTTCTGAAATAGGAGTTAACTGTCCTTATTTACAAAGCATTGGTTGTACTACTCTTCTGTAAGCTGACGTAAGTAATAGACCGTAGTATAGTGAGACAAATGAAGCATCTCCATGTTATTGCCTAACCATCAAGACATACAGCTGTAAATCTGCAGTCCTGATTTGCGTTTTGGTAGGAGGTTCTTCGTCCTAACATAGGACAATACATTATCCTTCTCTAGCCCTGGAGTAACCACGATTTTGAAACCATTCTCAACACATCTGAATACATGTCAGAGTGAAAAGTATTTTGAAACCCTTGCTGTTCCCAACTATGCTTTTCTCTCACAGTTTGTGCTGACAGAAAAGTCTAGGGAGAAAATTTTCAGAGCCATCTTATTAATGCTGGTTGATACCAATAGGCTGTCTTACTGAATATTATCTAAAAGAGAAGGAAGATCAGTGGTATTTTTAGTAGTTACTTGACTCAGAACAGGGAACTTAAAAGTTTCTGGGTATGTCATAGCGTCTATGAATTTAGGCAAGTCAGCTAAAACATCTCATTATTCCAGGATGTGACCATGTCAGAAGATATTGGAATGGGTCATTCATCATGCTTTCATCATATATATATTAGTGCTGCTTTGTAAAAATTATAAAAAGGAGGAATGATGAAAGCAACAACTAATGGAGTGAATGGTGTCACCTCAGTTTTCTAGCCAAGGAAGACTGACTCTGTGATATCAAGGAGAATACAGGGCAAAAAAAAGTGATTAGCTCTCAAGAGAAACTGAAGATAACATGAGTAGAACAGAATAAGTAAGGCTAGTGCCAGGCAAAATGGCTGAGCCTGTTATACTGAAAGGGAAAGCTCCATCCTCTTATCTTCCTCTCTCCTAGCAAAGTCCTCCTTTCTCACTATTCACAGCCTCAATGCAACAAGTCTGCCGTTTGTCTTTCTTTTCATTAATTAAAGTCAGATCACTAAACAAGTTAAAAACTAGGCCAGCAAGGAGAGAAGTTAATAAATTCTGCTGGTTTAGTGAGTGGAATGGTTCACTAGTCATCTGATGAAACCAAAGCTAGTGCGAGGGAAGATCTTTAACTCTGCTACTAAGAGACAGAATAGACAGGGAGAGAAAGACCACACCTGCTGTCAGCAAAGAATCATTAGATCTCCAATACATCAGGATTAGGATATTTCCATGTGTTGATGTTCAACTATTGCTGATGAGCCATGAAAAAGTCAGTATTACAACACATGGAATCTCAATTATCTCAATTCAGATTAGATATTAGGAAAAGGTTCTTCATCAGAAGTTGATCAGACTCAGAAACAAATTCTTTGGGGCAATGGTCACAACTGCAAGCCTGCCAGGGTTCAAAGAGCATTTGGACAATGTTCTCAGACACAGAGTTTGAATTTTGAGTGATTTTCTGTGGAGTCAGGAGTTGGATCCTTGGGATTCTCTTCCAATTGGGGATATTCTATATTTCTATGAATTTTGTAGTGGCTGAGAAAAGAAGGGAAGGAGATAGAAATAGTAAAGTTTTTAGAAGTTACAGTACTTATTGTGACATAAGAAAAGCATCTTAATTTCTGGTAGAGGTTGTTAAATACAACTCTTCAGAGTATTTATTTTAGCTGGCTAGCAAGATAGATAGCCAGGAACTCTTTGTGATATATTCTGGACATAATAGTAACTGTACCTATCCCAGCTGATGATTAGATGGAGGATGTTTTGTTTACTTTTTACTGCCAATGAGAATTTTATGGCAGCAACTTGATTTCCATTAGATGATAGGTTTCTGTGGACAAAATTGACAATAAGTGTTCTGGCAATTTTGTATGGCTGTCAAAAATTATGTACTGCTGTTTGAAAATGTGCCAAATGCTAATGGCTATCTTTGGGAGATCCATTTTACAGTCTTAAAATATAACAAATGTACTTCAACTCATAAAAGACTTCACTGCAATATGGATAAATACTTGAATAGGTATTGTTCTTAAATGGTCTAAGATCAAGAAACCTTGTATTTTAATCTTCAAAAATTTTAAGGGAATGAAAAGTATTAAAATGTTTATCTTGGTACTTCACACAGTAGTGACTGGAGGAGCAGTTTTCATAACCATGCTTTCAAGCTTGTCCTAATCCTTTTGACTTTCAATATCCTCCAACATTTACCTGGGTTCATTTCTGTTTGCAGTGTAAACAAATGTAGCCTACTTCCGTAGCTATAATACTCTGATACTACAAATATAGCAGTTACATAGTCTTAGTTCTCCACATCTATTTAAATTTCCAACATTAAAGTAGCAGGCTGACATATCATGTGAGTAACTTTAGGTTTTGGATTTGCTTGTCTGTATTAGCATTGGCCGCAAAAAATTATCTGCAATAGTAATGCTTAAAGACTAGTAATCGAAAAATGGGACACAGGCAACATTTTATCCTAGATACTTAGTGAAGGTAACAAACAATAATGAATATAGTTACTACTTGAATTTTAGTTTTGTTTTTTCTAACTTAAGTGACAAAGTAGTGGACAAGTCAGTATGAGAAATTTAATAACAAGACCTTGTTTAGTTCTTGAACCATGGTTTTGGAAAATGCAAGTTTCATACAAACAAAACTCTGAAGGCTTTTAAAAAGGAGACAGATTATATTATGTTGGTTTTGATGTTCCTCTTACAAGGAAGGGAGGGTTATAAATAACTTCTGTAATTGAAGTGGTTTGCTGAATTGCTAATTAACATTTTAAAAGCAGTGCAGCATTCTGTCCGTAACTAGTATGCACTTCATGAGGTAAGTTTGCATATAGATCACATGGAAACATGATGCATAGTTTCTCATAGGTAATTCAAATGAAACTAATATACATTGAGTGTATTGCTTCACTACATGCAGCTTATTCAGAATCCATCTTCTTTGAAGATTTCATAAAGCAAGAAAAGAGAATTAATCACAGAATCTTGGGATTGTTTAAATTGAAATAGATCTTTTCATCTGGTCCAATCCTATGTTTAAGCAGGGTCACCCAGAGCAACTTGTGAAGGGCTGTGTCCAGACAGGTTTTGAATATTTTCAAGGATGGAGTTCACCACAATCTCTCTGGACAACCTGTGCTAAATGCTCCATCACCTGT